GCAGATTTCTTCTCCACAGTGTTCCAGAACACGTTTGGTGACACACATACTATCATTTATTTGTGCTCATCAGCCTCGCCACGTGACATAAAATCATTGCAACATAATGCATTATTAAATATATTTTCCAACTGAAAAAGATAAACTTGACAGACTGTCAGTGAACATTTTCTTACCTTAGAAGAGGTTTGTGAAAATAAACCCTGGCATACATCCACCCATTAGTGTAAGCAAAGCTCAGCAGCCATTCAGAGCAGTCAGCTGTGAGCACAGGGGTTGCCCTTTGCCTCCTTCTCTGCCATAACTGGAGACAGAACTTGACTTTTGCTTCTGAGTGTCATTTAGACAAAAGCTCTTATGAGCATAGCTGAATCCATGGGTCCTTCACCAAGTGCTTCAGTTATTTGTTGGCTTTGATGCTGCTTGGTTGTCTTGATATTGCAAAGGGCTCTTTATGCTTTCGTAATTGATGCTGTTCATGAATGGGATTAGGGGAAAACACAAGAGTTCCTAAGAGGCTGTATGAACACTTGTTAGCGTGATCGTGAGGACTGGTGGTGAATCTGTGAGATTACAGGGAATTCTCAGGGAATCCCCCTCATTGAATCCCTTTCCCCTCACAGTTTGGAATCTGGTGCTTTTTTGGAGCTTGGAACTCAGGAATCCTTCAGCAAAGTCTCCTAAGGTGTGTGCTTGTAGCTACACAGAGCCTGAAAATCCTACCCTAGACAGCCTGAAAATCCTTCTGGTCTTAGGCAGGGCTTCAGAAATGACCAGGATCCTCTGCAAGAAGGAGATGTTAGCTCCAGGGCCCCAAAGGCTTGGAGCTGCTTATTCTTATGGTGTCTTGAGGGTGCGTGCAGAGATCTCTCTGGATCTCTGATGCTTCCTACACCTGGGGCCATCAGTTGTCCCACTAATTTATTCCTTGTTTAAATGAAATGGAGGTTGCTTGGTTTTGAGTAGAATTGCACACCTCCTCCCCCTGCTTTTTTTTAATTGGGGATGTTACTATGTCATATCCTTTCTGGGGAAAATTTAATGCAGAACCAGAATAAGCTTTCCTAAAACGTCAGACTTCCCCAGTGACTGGAAAATCCAGATTTTAATGGAGGCTGTTTTTAAGCATCTGATTGTAAGATTTGCTAGGAATTGTAATTCTGAAATGTAGATGACAGCTAAATATGGGTTTGTCACCTCAGATTCACAAATAGTAGTAAGAACACACACCCCTGCAAGTGTAGATATAAAGGTAGCTATTCACTCATCAAGCATAAAGACATTGGGTTGCCTGCATGGGTTCTCAATATATTTTTAGTGTTTTTCTCGGAAAAAGCTTTCCATCCTGTTTTGCTGCTACAGTGTAACTTTGATGAGGACTAGCTGTGAGAAACTGGGAATAATGCAGCACAGCTCTGTGAGAAAGCACATCCACGAGGCAATATCCAAAGGTAGCAACAAGCGAAGGACTTGTGCTAAAATATTCTGAAACATGAAGGTGTGCTTTCTAGTTAAAGACAGCACAGGTGTTTTGATTAAAAATTCCATTCCATTTCTGCACTACACAGAACTTTAGAAAACTGTATGTTAATTACTGGGTATATGCCTGCCTTCATTCAGAAAAGATGACAAAGGAAGGAATCCAGTTTATTTAAAAAGGACCCAGGAAGAAAGCTTTTCTTGTATGCCTGTTTTTCTGAGGACATGAAAGCTTATTCTATGAAAGAGATATTTTTCATTAAAAGTAGTACATAAATATTTTATTTAATAAATGTGTGGCTGGGAGGATTGACTTCAGTGCATACGAAACTTTTTTTATTTTATTTTATTTTTTATTAAACCAACATCTTGGTGAGCAGAATGAATCTCACATCCCCTAAGGAGACTTCTTTGCACAAGTTTAAAAACAGAAATGTCAAATGCTCTCTTCAGGTGCATGTTTCTAGCTGTGATTGAGTGCCGTGGGTCAGAATTTGGCCCTGGATATTCCTTTAGGCAGCAATATCAAAGAAACATCTGTTATAGCTTTCCAAATGTCTGGCTACTAAAAATTGGGCTGTCAGCTTTTAGTTGCTAATCCATTTATTCTTTTTTAAAGGTTAGGGTTGCTGTTGACAAGTGATAGAGCACCATGGCATGGTCAACCAGCATTGGGAGGTTAGCATATTTAAAAAGAAGGCTTTTTTGGTTTCAATATTAATTGTACTGGAGAAGGGAAAAGCCTTTATCTGTTGAGATGACTGCAGTGTAGTCAAGGTTTGCATTACCCTTGCTGCACAAGGAGCATTTGTTTAACTGATATACAGGTCTTCTGTAATTACCTTTCTGATCGTAAAACACCCTGGAGGTAGAAGAGGAGAGGTCTTTCCTTTTCCTAACCTATAGCTTACTCTGAAATCTAATAATTCCTCACCGTGAAGAGTAGCCTCTTGGCTACACAGAACCTTTTACACAGCATCTTTCCCTGAAGATAACTTAATCGGGAAGGATTCATAACTTCTGATACAATCTTCTTGTCTTCAAGTTCAGCCCAATAGCCCAGCCAAATCATTCGAGATGAAGTTACAAGATTAATCTTATGGAGTATGAGGGGGAAAAAAAAAAAAGAGTTATTAGGTTGAAATGAATTGCAGTAAATCTGTTTTGTTATTTAAAAAGAAATAAGAGAGAGAAAAAAAGTTTTAATTTTTGATGCTATCTTTTCTGCACCTCTCGCTGCTGACTGAGCAGAAGTTCGTGGGTCAGGACTACCTGTCAGATGTTCAACTCCATCTTTTATCTCAGTGTACTGCATAAAGTGGCATTGGGGACACAAACATAGTTGAAGCTGAAAGTAGGAATGAATTCTGAAGAAGAGATGGGTATTGCATTATTGCTGTCAGAGGCATATTTCTGGAAGTGCCAGGGACTTGGGGATCCCTTGGCTCTTGTCCCAGGTAAGGTTGGTCAGGATACTGAAAGTGATGATTTAATTCCGAGGGCTGTGGCAGCTGCTTTAGGGGAGAGGAATGTAACTGTGTGACCTCCTCTCAGATTGCTTTTCCTTGGGTGTGGGTAGGCTCTCGGTCTGTGTTAAGTTTTGACAGGGTTCCGAACCCAAGACTTATCTCCCTATCAGTACTCTGTACAACAACTGTGCTCCTTTGGGTCCTGCAGGGCCAAGGAGGCCTCAAAGTTCTTGTTTTGCGAAGTTCTTTAATCTTTCCCTATTTTGGAGAGTATCTGGATGGAGATATTGTATAACAGGGGTATTGATACTGGTCAGACATGTTCACCTCAAGGAAAACGCGTGTAATAATTTGCCCATTGCTTTTAAAACTAGCTTATTACAGGAGCTCAATTTTTATGATTTTATAAAAATTTATTATTTTATGTTAGCATCAAAGTTAAGCACATTTGTAGGACAAAATCTGTTTTAGTAACAACTACATCTACTGTAATGAAACTGACATTATTTGCCACATCTACATCAGCCCACATCAGGGGCTATTGAAAGAGGTGTAAACTATGACTTCACATTAAGGAAGGAAAATCCAATATGAAGGTTATATCCTTGTTACTTATTACTTTGTTATTCACAGTTGAAAACAGGACACCAGGTTTCTTACCTACTCTCATAAATAACTGGCATGAATTTCTTTCTTCTAAATTCCAGTCAATAACAGGGATATCTACTTATTGTACTGTAACAGCACAGAGGCCAGATTTCACTGAGCCATTGGGGATGTTAATTTTTGCTACTTTAGAATGACTTATAAAACAGCACGAAATCCATTCTTATCATGAAGATTATTGCTTAAAGCAATGAGCGAGAGTTACAGTGCTCTCTTTTTGCTGCCATTACTTAGTAACAGGACTCCCATAAATGAGATTACACTGAGAATGAGGCAGGGCTCAACTAGAACTTGGAATGTTCATGTTTTTATTCAGTGGAAGAGGTAAGTGGCACTAAGCAGAGCTTTAACAGAACAAAGCAGTGTTTTAAGGCTTCAGACATTTACCTTGCTTACTATTATCCACTTAGACATTGGGGTTTTTTATTATCCACTATTATTTATCTATTGAGGAGAACAATTCTTCAACGCTCTGAATTAATTATCAATTATCACTCAAGTTAGTTATTTCCTTTTGCTACAGAAAGTTTTGCCAAACTTTTACTGGGAGGTGTTACCATTTTGTTTTGGTTTTATTACAGCAAACCTTAGCGTTGCACCTAAACTAACAGAATTCACTCCAGCAACTGTAATGTTCTTACTTGACAAGAATATCAACAGATCAAAAATGCTTATTATGCAAAAATGCTTCTTATTTTTTCCTTTGGAACTACAATTTCTTCATGGCTTCTCTAAGAAATCAGCAAGCCAGAGATGTATTTTATTGTATTTTATTATATCAAACTTCTCCAACCCAAGTTTTGCCTGTTGGTTCTTCTACAAAGCTAAATCCTACCTTTCCCCCAAGGTCCTCAAAAAACGAGAGGAGAGTACTGAAGATTTCATCATCTTTAGAAAAACCAACTTAAACATTCCCAGGAAAAATCTGTGCTGTCAAAGCCCATAGAATTCTGTTCATTGACCGTGCGTTCTGTATCAGATTCTTTTTGCACCTCGAGTATCGCCTTGATTTTGCAGAGGTTGCACAGACAAGCTCCTGTTCTGAGATATATAGAATCATTGAACAGATGCACATAGTTGCCTCTTCCATGTGCAAGGCCCTGAAATGATAGCAAAACTTAAAGAATAAATAAATAGAAGGACTCAGAATCTGTGTAAGATTAAAGATGATGCTTTTTCTAGGTGATGATAATTATGTTACAGATAAGAATTTCTGTCCAGTTTCCCTCTACAGACATGCGTCTGAAGGAAAAACTGAGCAGTTTAATGTTGGTGCTCAGTGCATGTAGTCTATCAAGTTACTAAGTGATAAGTATTAAGTGATATTTGCACTTAATGTGTGGCATAAATAATGTTGGTATTTCTTTTTCTTTTTACTAATGAAAGGTCCAAGCAGTCTGGATCTCCCAACAAGCAGTCCTCCTCTTCTTCCTGGTCTTTCTTCTTGGAACTTGACCTGGATCATGAGAGATACATCTCCTTTCTTCTCCCATAGAGGACGACACAGTAAGTGCTGTTTATGAGTTCTTCTCAAGAGTCTGTACCTAACTGCCTAAGGATATTGATGTAACAGCAGAGGGAAACAATCAAAAGCCAAAGATAAAATATGCATCCTGTCAGCCACTGAGGCCACTAATTTGCCTTAATGTCGCTATCAACCTCCCATGGGGCCTCCTATCTCCTTGCACATCAGCCCAGGAACCCCATATCCCGAGCTAGACTTGGCCCATTGCCATCCCCACAGAGGTGCCTGATGACCTGGGCTGCCCCAGCCTTCCCTTCTTCCTCCAAAACAGGGTCCTGAACTGTAATATTTGAGTGCTATGTTTGAATCCACTGATGTAAATAGAGGTGTTGCATACCAAACTCAGTTTTGCTTGCCATCTTCTTTCATAACTTCCATTCTTTCCAAAATTAAGGAAACTGTTTTAATCTGTTTTCTGGTACAACATATTTCTGACAAACCACAGCCACTGAAGTAGTATATGCCTACTATATATCTGCTAGCAGTCTATGAGAGGAGTTAAGGTGCTGAGAGGCTAATAAGATTTACTCACCCCAAGTCTGTAATTATCTGCTTGAGGGAAAAGTTTGACCTACCTATATGAAGGAGGCCCATATTTCTTCAAATTTATGTTGCAACCTTTTATGTGTGCAATATATATTCTTTCCACTGGCATACAATATCTGCTCTTAGCTGTTGTATCTGCTTGAACGATGAGGACACACCAATTTCATTTGGGAAGGGACAGTAGTACAATCTTTTTTCTCCACTTGGCTTTCTTCGAAGTTGCAAGAATGATTTTTAATTTATTCTTTATTACTTCTTCCTAAACTCTTTCAATTTTTCAGAAAGAAAAACCATTCTAAGAGAAGATTTTGTTCTTAAAACCTAAAAGCATTGATTCTATCTGATAGCATTACATAGAGATAAATGCACTGCATCTAAGCAGAAATTATTTATTATGTTTTCATCTGGCTGGATGAGACCAAATTCTACCTTATTTTAATCATCTGTTTTGCAAGGAAAGGCAAGAATTTGTTGATGTGTTACCAAAAATTGGATGAGGAGATTACTCTGCTTTATGATCTGTTTTTAAAAAGTCCCCAAAACCTCAACTGATTTGCTTCTTACTACAGAAGGTACCAGTTTGTAAGCTGCTTTCTACTTCAGAAGGTGTCACTCAGGACACATACTTGAAATTCGTGGGAACTGTAAAGAGGAGCAAGGGTCATTTGTTCATTTGCTAGCTTTGCAACTTAAGGTTTCCGGAGATTGGCAGAGCCTTCCCTAAATCAAAGGGGCAGCAGTGGCCCCCAGAGTCATGGTTTCCAGACTGGAACACCTCATATCGTTGCCACTTCAGATATGCAGTGTGTGGAGGACTGATAGGTGAATGCAGAACAGAGCATCATTCAAGCCTAGGAGAGTAATTCTTAAAACTTCCCTCAATTCCTCTGAAGCCTGTAGGCACCTGGTAGTACTACCTAAAGGTAGTAGCCTTTAGCACCGGGTAGTAAACTTGTCCCAGGACCACCTCTGCCTCCTGATTAAGTGGTTAATCCAAATTCACACAATACATTCATTAGCAGAAATAAAACCCAACAGTCCTTTACTCAGAGTGTTTTCCTATTCTGCCAAAAGCTTTCCTCAATGTTCCCAGCATGAGAGAGATTTCAAAACGAGTGCTCAGTAAAACATCTATTAAAACTTTGTTTGTCTAATCATCTGATGGGACCCATCTAATTAACTGACTGACATTGCTGCAGTGGGAAATGTAAGTTGTCTTAATTACTTTTGTCCTGTGTTCCACTGCGGGATAAATTTATTTGATTGAAAGGCTGTGTAAACCAAAATGTAGGGTCCCTCTTCTTCCACTCAGAATTAAACATTCTGATGGAGTGCCTCTAATAGTTCTGACAGGAGCAGTGCTTGATGTTATCTCTGAAACTACGTGCAGCAGTCCCAGAAGATAATCGCTGGCACAACACAATGCCCTGAGAGTGAAGCATTTACAAGGCTTTGTCCTATCTTGTCTTGACATTTCTAGATTTGTCTCTATCCAAGCACTGATTCATCATCTACTATCTCAGAGATGCATAATCCACCTACCTCACAGAAAGCAAAGGCTTTAAGAGAGCAGTGATTTAAAGACTCCTCCTGCTTTCAGGATAAATTCCCAGCTCATTTGGACTTCATGTGTTGTCTTTTTTGTTTTGTTTTGTTCTTTTAATGCATTCTGCATATGTGGATGAAACTCTGTCCTTAGGCTTACATGATCAACGACATATTTTATTTCTTGTCCTGGTTGGTTGAATATTAATTTTCTCTTCTGTATGGGTATTGCATAAGAAATTGTCACTCCATAAAAACGATTGTGTTTCTCTACCAGGGGCTCCAGGGGACAGGTACCCATTAAGGCCTGGAAGGCTTCATGGCATTAGTATACCCTTCTCTGCCCCATCCTCTACACACCCCCAGCTAACCTGCAGCACGAGATTTTGTGCACGATTCTGACACCAGCATGGTGGCAAATGCAAGAAGTGGAAAAAAATCAAAGTTTGCCCCATCTGAATTCTGTTTTGAAAGAAGAGCGTGTTCTTATGAGGATAACAGGCTTAAGGACAGCCCTTCCCTATGTGAAAAGCTGGCAATGGCTTTAGCTTGTTAACTCTTTTCTTATGCAGTTGTGTGGTCTGAACATCTTTCTAGCAGATCCTGCAGTAGCAGCTGAACTCCTCTGCCTGTTCTGAATTAGTTTTGCTCAAAAGACAGAAATACCTCTCTTAGGCTGCACAGCTTTGACTTAATAGCTACTAAAAGCATAATCTAAAAGATACCCTCTCAATAACTTCTTAATAATTTTACTCAGCTCTATGTCTTCTGAAAAATAATTTGACAGTGTGAGGGTTTATGTTGTTAATTTTTTGTTTTTATACTTTCTAATGCAGTCTCCTCTGTGAAGAGATCACGATTTTCTGAATTGGGTTGGGGTAAAGAACCACATCTGACTAATTCTACTGTGAAATAATTTGGGGTCATTCTGTTTGCCTAGATGATGCTCAGCAGCTGTTCACTGAGGTGCTGGATGATTTTCTTTTTTTTTCTCTGTTACATTGAGAGCAGCTCACTGAATTTGAGTACTCATGCATGCATTCAAAACACTGTTTCATTCACGTGAGTTGAATACCAGCTAAACACTGCTGACAGGAAATTCAATGAGTTTGATTGCCAAACAAAAGGGAAGGTAGTGAGAAAGAGGGCACCAGCTAGACAAATGCATGTTACAGTTAGGTTCCCGTGGCCACTTGTTCTATATATCAAATCAGAATAATATGGACACCTGCAGAACGATAAACATATAATGACATGACCTGACTCAACATGGCATAGTGAGAAACATGGATGTGAACTGATTGTTACAATGAATTCCAGTTTGAAAGGTGAGATAAAGTCAGGAGAGGAATAAGCAGAATAATACTTTGTCACAGAGGAAAAAAAGAATCAATGCTGTGTTATTAAAGAGAATGCAAAAGTGATGTACCACCTTAGTTCAAACACACCCTAACTTTCAAAAGAAGTTTTCAATTTTAAAGTATTCTAATATAGTTTGGGAATAGTAGTATAAATGTAATAGATCAGGACTTCAATTAACACTGAATTATTGGAATTGCTTCATATAAAATAACAGATGCTGTGACCCCATATACATGCATATCAACTCTTTGTTTAATGATTAGATTGTCTTTTTGCCATGTGTAATGGTGCTGAAATCCATGGGGAGGAAAATCACAGGCAAAGGAGCATCTGCCTAACTAAGCTGAAAGCTCTGCTAAACAAGGAAGAAGAAAAAAAAATCTTCTTTCTTTTGTTACTCTTTTCCTTATAAATTCTTTTCATCGGCAGATAATATGCAGTGGCAGTTCAGCATTTTTTCAGTAATAGGGTAACATGCAGCAAGACAACAAATGTCTTTTCCCCTTGTCTCTCAAGTGTTCATTTTCTCTAGAGATCTCTCAATCTTCATGCAAGAGGTCCCTTGTATGAGTTGTCAAAATATGACAGTTCATCTAACTACTGTTATGGGCCAACTGGAGCATGTTTTCTAACAATCCCTGTTAGTCAGTACTTTGGTCCTTGGGTCAGAACTGGTGCTGGAAGCGCACTTTCACTTATTGTCCTTGCTGCATGCAGGAGTGACTTGCTGGACAAATATTTCTCACGTGGAGGATGAGCTCTGTCACTTTTATTGCGGGAGGAATGAAAATGAGAGCTGTTGTTGGCTGTGCTACTACCCACACCCCCTCCTTGCTCTTTTTTTCTGTAGCTGTCTTGAAAGACTGAGCTTATAATTGATTGATAAAGGAGTCCTGGCCCTCTTCTTTGTAGCTTGATTTCCACCAAAGAAAGCAGCTGTCAAAGATATTGGTGATTCAGTCCCTGATGCACACTGAGGAATTGGGTGGATATAAAGTATGTGCTGTCATTTTGAGATTCTCTTAACTAATAAACGAATGGTTTATTGTTGTCATTTTCTCGAAGATGTGGCCCATCCAGCTGTGACTCTCTCCTACCAAGGGGGAGTTAATTTAAAAGCTCCCAGTGCTAGGAGAGCACTGGGTTCCCTGAGGAGGTAAGCAGAGTGCCCCATGCTTGACTCAGAAGCTCAAGTATTGAAACCTCCAGTAGTTGTCTTTTCTCATCTTCACAGGTAGCAGCCCCAGGCCAGGCAGTTACTGCCAGTCAGGTATCTGCTAGGGGTGGCTAAGGCCTCAGGTGCCCAAACACAACACTAGTCAGCCTGTCTCAGTGTGTCACCACCCTCAGTGTAATATCCTTATATCCAAACTAAATCTCTCCTCTTTGAGCCTGAAGCCGTTTCCCTTGTTCTGTCACCACCAACCCTGCTAAAGAGTCTGTCCCCTTCTTTCCTGTAGCCCCCCTTTAGGTATTGAAAAGCTGCTATCAGGTCATCTCGCAGCCTGCAGGCTTCCTTGCATCACCTTATCACACCTGTGCTTCTATATTGGTGGATAGAAATGGCTTGATGGGGAAATCAAAACTAGATTGAATGCCTTTTGCTCTTTTCTACTCAGAGAGAATAGGAAAGGCTTAAGGAACTGGCTTTGTCCCTAGGATTAATAACTGGAAAATCAATTTGTCATTTCCTTGTCATAAATTAAAAGCTTATAGTCATCATAACATGAGTATAATAGAGGTTAGTGAGTATTGATGGAGGTCTCAAAGCTCACTCAGCAGAGCACATCTCTACTCTACAATTTAAATTATGTCTCCTCCACAAGGAATATCTGTCAATATTTGTATAAAGAGACATTCCTTGCAAGAATATTTTATCCATTTCTATACTGCTGGTGATGTGATTGTTGGTGTTTGATGAAGTGGGCCCAGGAGAAAAGTTTTTGTCCCATTTTGATCAGTGTAAGTGACCTCTACATTGTCCGCTTGTATCTGTAGGAGTAGGATAAATTAGCCGTGTTTAAGCTGATTACTTGCCAGTTAGGATGTACATCTTTGAGTTCGTCCTTTTGAGAACAAAGCAGCTCTGCTCTCTCCCTTGTCTGTCTCAGTGCGGCGAGAAAGCAAACACTCTGTCTCAAAAGGGTGATCAGCTGAGAGTAATAGAGAGCGATTTGTGAGACTGAGAAGAGTGAGGGTGAAAAGGACATGTTAAACTCTAAAGGAGAAGCCTATGAGAAAAGTACTTGCAGGTACTTTGGTGTTTGAAAGAGGGCTTGGCTTAAAACAAGTCAATTTAGTCTGTTATTGAGCAGTCAAAGAAAGAACAATCAAAATAGTTTATTTAAAAGCACAGGCAGTTTATGTTTCTCTTTAAAATTATTTTTATCCTAAATAAGGCACGCTTCTGTGATGCACGCTTACACAAAGGATCTAAGAGGATCCAAAGAGCGAATGATCCACAATTTGACCTGCAGCAATGTAGAAGAATATTTTCTGCAGATTATTCTGTTTTGGAAAATTGCTTATACTACTATTTTAAGTCACTTGTTTATCAGAAAGCTTCAGTCCATTTAATTAAAACAGACGTAGTTGCCAGATATTTTAGTTGTTTGTGCCCAAATTATTGCTGATAGCTACTTTGATTAACATAAATTGAATTACTCACAAGACTCTTAGCATCATCAGGCATGCACAGATTCCACTGGCTTTTCAACTGGATAGTAGCTTAATTTACTTTTCAGTCTATGATTGGTGTCCTGTATCTTCTTGTAAGCCAGAAACTAAGTAATTTATGTCTTCAACCTTTCTTAAACAAGTGTTTACCTTGATTTTATTATAAGCATCACATTTTGTTTCCTTATTAAAAGTGTAACGGTGGTAAAATAGGCTTTAATAAGTTAAACTGTTCTCCAGCATTCACTGAAAATGGATGGAAATGCAAAAGATTCTGGGACCAGGGATTGTTTTTACATGGTGCATTTCAAAAGCTTTTATTCAGCTTCTAAAGGTAAATGGCTACTTTGTGAGTTTTGCCAGGTATTTGGTGTTGCATTTAAACCTGCTAGAAAAAAGTCACAAAGGAAGGTGAAAGACAGAGGCATAAAAAATGACAGGTAATTGGTGGAAGTAACTGAAATATTGTGAGGGTTCTTAGAATCATAGAATCAAAAGGTTGGAAACAACCTACAAGATCATCCAGTCCAACTGTCTCCTCATCACCATTGCCACCACAAGCACTAAACCATATCACACAGCATGTCATCCAGACGCCTCCTGAACACTGCCAGGGATGGCGACTCCACCACCCCTCTGGGCAGCCATTCCAGTGCCTGACCACTCTCTGAGAGAAAAAGTTCTTCCTTATGTCCAACCTAAACCTCTGGTACAACTTGCGGCCATTACCCCTTGTCCTGCTCGCTGCCTGGGAGAAGAGGCCAAATCCCTCTTCATCACAACCTCCCTTCAGGAGGTTGTAGAGTGCAGTGAGGTCTCCCCTGAGCCTCCTCTTCTCCAAACTGAACAATCCCAGCTCTCTCAGCTGCTCCTCATAAGGTTTGTGCTCCAGACCCCTCACCAGTTTCGTTGCCCTTCTCTGGACACGCTCCAGGACCTCAACATCTTTTCTGTAGTGAGGAGCCCAAAACTGAACACAGCACTGAAGGTGCGGCCTCACCAGTGCTGAGTACAGGGGGATGATCACCTCCTGCTCCTGCTGGCCACACTATTTCTAATGCAGGCCAGGATGCCATTGGTCCTCTTGGCCACCTGGGCACACTGTTGTTATCCTTATTTAGGGATGTGGTTTATATGGGCGTGCAGCAGCTACTACACCAAGAGCAGCTGATCAGTGGAAAAATATGTCACACATAATGCTTTTTTTCATATAAAGTATATTACACTGTCTACAGTGGAGGATATTATGTGAGACGGAAAGCCTGGTGGGAAGTTGACTAACGTTAGGCTTGGAAGACTGAATTCTATTTGCATAGACTTTGCTGTGTTGCATCAGATAGCATTTCTTTGTCATCGTTTCCTCGTACTGAATAGGACAATAGAACGGAAATTTTGGTCTGATATGAGACTAATTTGAATAAGAACTTACGAAGAGAGCGGCTATTCTGATGGTGTAGGGAGGGGAGTGGGAGGGCTATCAAATTCTTTAAAGATGCAAGTATGTTTTCATTAAATAGAGAACACTCTTCAGATGTACAAACCAAGCAGCTTCCTTTTTTATCCTTTTCTATCAAAAAATAACGTGTTTTAAAGGCCATTCAGCTGTATCACATCAGCTGGGGTGAGCTTAGAGGTCTCTTCCAACCCAAGGAATTCTGCATCTCTACAAACAATATTTTCTATAACTCACTGCGCAGTGTTTGATTGCTCTTTTGCCCATTTGGGTTTAGTGCAAAGCTTAATTGAGACTTAGCATTTTGTAGATTTAAAACAAATATTAGTTTTGCTTTGTTTTTTATAAAAATCAACCAGGGGACAAGAGAGAAGAGTCACCTGCAGTTTGGGTACAATATCATGGTAGCAAATTCTGTAGCATGAATGCATCCACTGCTGCATAAGCTGAAGCATGCTTCATTTATTGTGAAATTTATATGGAGAAGATGGAGACCTAAAGTGGCAACACGTGCGTTCAAATTTAAAGACATGTAAGATTCTTTCGTATGAATTCCTCACACTGGATGGTTTCCATGGCGTTCTGAAGCAGAGAAAATGCTGTGAATGTAAAACAGCTGTGTGCAATGAGGAGCACCTGGGTGCTGCTGACCCTACCCAGAGCTGAGCAGAGTGGGCAGGGCTGGCAGCAACCACTCACTGCTCAGGGCATGGCACCTCAGGTGGGGGGTGACAGGGGGTGTGAGGGGACAAAATGCATATATCCAGCAGCTGGGGCTGCTCTATAGCTGTTTGCACTGGTGAAGGGCATTTATCCTACTGGATCCAGGAGGCAAAATAGTGAGTGCTCATCTTAGAGCAGGGGCAGAAGTTCCAGTTGGGATGGAGGGAGAGAAGGTGGTGGAGCTGCACCATCTGCCTTGGCTTCAGCTGGCTGGAGCTACAGACTCCTGGGAGTAGTGTATTGAGTGCTGGGGCCCCAACATCAGAAAGACGTGGAGCTGTTGGAGCAGGTCCAGAGGAAGCCATGAAGATGCTCAAAGGGCTGGGATGCCTCTTCTATGAAGAAAAGTCTCAGGGAGCTGGGCTTGTTTAGCTTGGAGAAGAGAAGGCTCAGGGAAGACCTCATGGCTGCCTTCAAGTTCTTGAAGGAAGCTTATGAACAGAAGGGAGATTCGCTATTAGACCATGTGAAGAAGTCATAGGACGAGGACTAAAAGAGGGGAGATTTAGGTTAGATGTTAAGAAGAAATCCTTTACTGAAAGTGTGGTGAGGCCCTGGCACTGCTGCCCAGAGCTGTGGGTGCCCCATCCCTGGAATTGCCCAAGGCCAGATTGGATGGGCCTGGGGCAGCCCTGCCCATGGCAGGGGTTGGGGCTGGATGGGCTTTAGGGATCTTTCCAACTCAAACCATCCTGTGACTAAAAAAAAATCAAATGTAAACTGGAAAAATAGATTTTGCTCTTTCCAGTTTGCAATTAAAAAGATGAATTAGCATTGAGGGCAATGGTATTAACCTCCAGATTACAAGATGTTGTGTCACAGGAGAACAGCCTGAGGTACAAGAATGTGTGCACACAAAGAAGAAATCGAACGTTTAATAGAGGATGTAATTAAACTTTTAAAATATTCGTTAACTTGACTAATGTGGATTCAGATTATTTGTTCCACTTCCACAGCAGACATTATAGAAGGCTCCAAAAAGGAGCTGAAATATGTATATACATTGTTTTACTTTTACAGATGCTTTTTCAGGAACGTTGAGCTCAGAAATGGTTTCTGTTGGTTACTGAGCATTGTGTTTAGTGCTGACAGGAAAAGAAAAAGTAGACTGGTCATTCTAGGAAATTCAGCAGGCTTGTCACCTAGAAGTATGTAAACTTCAAGGCATCAATATATCTCATGTTAAGCAACTTGTATTATGGTTTGACAGCAGATTGGACATGAAGAAATGATTCACAGCTACAGCAACAGGATATTTCTTTTCTAAAAGAGAAACATCTCCAAAAGAAATGTATGCAGGGGATAAATGCTGGTGGTGCTGCCTGGAGGCTAAAGTTTGCAGCAGCAGATCTAGCTTCTTTTGACCAGAAGCTTTACAAACCCTGGGAGTCAGAAAGGTGGTTCACAGGGTGAAATCCTGCAACTCCCAGCCTGTCCCACGTGCCTGGGATGTACAAAGTTACTGGCTTTTTGGCCCTTCTCTTCATCTGCTAATGGATCTCTTAGTATGGTCCATTTTGGACATATTATTGTTTGTCCCTATCGACTTTCCTTCTACTCATTTAAAAGTCATTCCAGCACAGAGGAAACTTAGCTGAATAAACCTGATATTTGCTGTATCTGTTTTCTTTTTCCAGTATTTGATTGCAATTTTGAGTCTCCTTGTGAGCTGGAATATTCCCTTTCCTCGAAAGATCGGGAAAGCTCCAACAAAGCTTGGCTGAGAGTGAGTGCAGAGGATATCTCACAGCTGAACATCCCGGATGGACCAGAGAGAGATCACTCAGAGAATACACCAAAAGGTAAAGTGAACACAGCTGTGTCACGCCTCCATTGGAGTCGTTGATGCTAAGCTGCTAAACCAACCAGCTAAACATTTCCTCTTAAAATACTTTAAGCAGCTGCAATTCTTTTGCTGCAGCAGAGAATGAATTTAAACAACATGGGAAACAAAGGCAGTCATGGTGTGTATGAAGTATCTACTTTTGTCTGCAGGATATATAAGGGAAACAGAATATCAACATACCATTCTATAAAGGTTGAATCAGGCTGATGTGTGCGGCAAACAGCATTTGGATGAGAATAGTTGCAATTTAGAAGAAGCCACGAAGTTAAAAGTGCTGTTTTTTAATGTTATATCTGAATAAACTGTGATAATAAGATGCATAAATTAATGTTACGGAGGCCAGAAATTTGCGTAAGATTGTAGAAGGGTTGGATGAGTTCTTGCAGAATATATTCATTAGTGTTTGTTTATGTCTTCGGACTCCAGAAGCCTCTCTCCCAGAGATCTGCAAGTGACAGATCCTTTCATTATAGCCAGTGCCAGGATGTCATTTGCCTTTGCAGACTTTTAGTGTGACTGCTTATAACAGCTTTCACATTCAGGCAAATATTAAGGAGAAGTTTCAGTGCAGCCTTTGTTCCTGTTCTTGGATTCTGTTTTCTCATCTCTATCAAGAGGACAGTACTTCTCCCAAAAAACTATTATAAATTAATTTCCAAGGTGTCACAGCCAATTGTTTGAACGCTGATTCATCAGCAAACTGAGTCACTTTACTGGGTTCTGTGGATGGAGCATATTTGTGCCATATGCAAATATATTCCAGTCTTCACATCAGAGAACAGACAAACACGTAATAAATTTCTTGATACAAAGATACAGTGAAGTAAAAGTTTGAGGTAAATCACAATGTCTGTTGCTGAGAAAGTATTTCACTTGTTTTCTTTTTAATTCTCATGCAAGCTGTCTGCTAATGGAATTTAGAAATTAAAACAGGTTTGTTTTGGATCGAAAATAGCAGTTGTTGCTTTCCTGGAATGGGAAAAAAATGGGGAAAACAGTGAATGATAAAGTTATCATCCCCAGTGAAGGGCCTGGTCAGGTCATTGTGGTGCTGCACTTTGATAATGAGTGCTTCAGTAGCATTAGAACTTTGTATTTAATCTCTTGGCTTTTTTTGTTGTTAGACTTTTTTTTTTTTTTATCCTTTCTCAATCTGGAATGTAGGCAAAAGTTTGTATTCTGCTCTTTGCTCTCATTCCACATACACAGGCTGGTGGATTTAGGTTTACGAGGTGCTGGGATGAAGTCTTTGGGATGAGTGGGGTTTTTTGTGTATGGTTTTTTTTTTTTATTTTATTTTTTTTTTATTTTTAATAATTGTCAAGTATGTTGAACGTTGGTAATTTTCTCTTGAGCCCGTCTATAGAACTGTAGGTCTGCAATTCACAGATGACTAAAGTCTTTGCATATAAAACCTTGTTTGAAAAATCAACACTTGGAGCTAGCATCTCTCTATTTTAAATCACTTTAATTACAGCTGCTTGGCACAAATAGTTGTGCGGTCTGTTTCATTCTGAAATAATTAAGCACAAGTAATTCCAACCCCTACTGGTTCCTGCAAATTGCACTTCCAATTATCTCAATCTCATTTCATCTCCTTCGCAGACAGAAAAGCACAGAGATAAACAGATAAGAGAACTAGCTTTTGAGATGGCTTAGGTTATCCTCATCACTTGGCTATCAAGCCATGTTAAGACACTGAGAAGACAAATGCCTTAAGATGAGACATCATGCCTTTTATGCAAAAGGTTTGGCAGAAAACCATTGAGAGATCTCCTGAAGAGAGAAACCAGAAGGAGTTTTGTGTAATTCTAGTTTTGTTTGGTTTTGTGGGGTTGTTTTGTTTGTTTTGCCCTCTGCAGCATGGTACACCTCAGTGTCTAGGAGTCACAACAAATCGTCGTGAATTGAGCAAGGAAGAACAAGTTTTAAATGTCTCAGCATTTGGTTATGGTCATATCTGAGCACTGTGCTCATTTGACATGTTCAGTGTGTGTTGTCACACAAACCACACATCCCCTGAACACGGATAGATGGTGAGGTGGCAAAGTTAAATATTAAATTATTCAGGGTTGGGAAGTGGGGGCCTGGTTTGCAAAGAATTGGAAAAGCATGCTTAACCACACAGTTGTGGCAGGTGAAATTTAATGTAGATTATTTGAAATAAAGTAGTGGGCTAAACAGTCTGATTTTGGTATACAGAAGAGTATATTCTGATGTTGTTGCAATCATTCGAGCTGATTATGGAGTAAGAATAAACCTATGACTGCTGATGAGTTGTTTCTCCTGAAGCAAATGTCATGTTGGAATTTATTGGGAAGGGAGTAGAAAATAGAAAATAATACTCTTGTATAAATGCGTGGGTCACTTATATCTAGAATAAATCATTCTTCTCTGGTTCCCATACGTCAAAATGTAATTTATCATATCTGGGAAAGTAGTTAAAGGAATGAAAACGAGGATGATCTGAAGTATGTAATGGCTCTCTTTTAGGAGCGCTTAAATTGACAAGTGATGCTCAGCCTGGAAGAGATACTGAAAGGACTACGTGGCAAAGGTCTATAAAAGCTTAGGTTGTCATAAAATCTTTGTGAAAATGTAGAGAAGTTTAAAAACTCCCCAAACTTCATAAGACACAGGATGAGCGCAGAAGGAATATTCCTTATTTCTTCTAAAACAGAATTGACCAGCACCAGGTAAAATTAGTAGATGTCAGGCTCAAAAGAAAACCAAATGAGATAGAGTAGAAGTGTGGAACTGTTTTCCAGAGGCAACTGTTGGTACTAAAAGACTTGTGTGTACACAAATGCACAGGATACGTTCAGGAAGAAAAAGAGTTAATGTCTATGAAATTCCTTTTCTGGCTTGTAGTCTTTGTGCAGTATATCCCCAAAGGCCAGGAGATTAGTCTGGAGAAGTAAAACTGTTTGTTCTCCTTGTCCATTTATTCTTTCCTCTGTATCTACACCTGTCTGTTTTTGGAGCCAAACGTCTGAAGTTGATGGATCTTGAGTCTGTGCTGGCAGAGTCAGAGTGGTGTTATATTCCTCCCCTATCCTCTGCCCAGTTCCTTCTTCCTGTGTGAAAGAGGAGAGAGATGCACTGTTTCATAAATTTGAAGAGTTGGTGAAAAGGTGTGATTTATGTGCTTAATATTATTTGCCATTTTTGTAAAAGCCTTGGAAATGGTGCTAAACCATTTGTTAGGCAAAAATGTTGAGTGTTTGGGAGGAAGAATTGCAGGACTGTCAATAGGAATCTGTAGAAGTGTGTCCATCAAGATACTTTGTATGATTTTTTTGGGAACTCTGCAAAAATTCTTCTCTGGAACAGGCTGCCCAGAGAGGTTCTGGAGTCTCTTTCTGTGGAGATGTTCAAGACCCGCCTGGACGCCTACCTGTGCAACCTGGTGCAGGGAACCTGCTTTGGCAGGGGGGTTGGACTCGATGATCTCTGGAGGTCCCTGCCAACCTGTACGATTCTGTGATCCTGTTAAGTGGACCAGTGAATGACAGAATGACTGCTGTGCAGGGTCTAGCTGGCAGACAGAGTAAGTGACGATGCATTGGAGCTACTAATAATTTCAAGCTTTTTTGTAGGCTCAATCTTAGGGTTGGGGGGACCTCTGGAGATCATTTAATCCAATCCCCCAATTAAAGCAGATGTCCTGCAGTAGGTTGCAGAGGTGGGTTTTGAATATCTCCAGAGAAGATCATCTCTGGGCAGCCTGTTCCAGTGCGCTGTCAAACTCACAGTAAAGAAATGGAAATTACTGTGTTCCAATTTGTGCCTGTTGTCCCTTATCCTTTTGCCAGGCCACCAAAAAGAGCCCTGTCCCATCCCCTTGATAACTGGCCTTTACACATTCACAAGTGTTGATAACATCCCCTCTCAGTCTTTCCTTCTCCTGAACAAACAGGCCCAGATCTCTCAGCCTTTCCTCATAAGGGAGATGCACCAGGCCCACCCCTCATCATCTTTGCAGCCTGATGGGCTCCCTACAATAGTTCTCTGTCTTTCTTGAACCAAGGAGCCCAGAACTGTACATGGTATTCCAGATAATATCTCCCTGTGGGCCATTCTCCTGACCCTTACTCAGAGATACCCGATCCATTCATTGCCATTGCTCAGTTCCATGTACTCCAGACCTTCCCTAACGTAGAGGGCTTACCCCACCTCCTCTTCTTCCCTGACCTTCTCTCCTGAAAAACCTGTAGCCATCCATCTCAGCACTCTGAGCTTGTGAGCCATCCCACTACATTTCACTGAGGTCTGGGATATCTTAACCCTGATACTAGCCTAAAAATTCCATTTCCCCTTCTTTATTTCCCATGCTCTATGCATTTGTGTTGAGGCACTGAAGTTGGGCCCACCTGGGAACTGGCTTACTGGCTGGCATTTCTTTGTGCTGCTCTTCAGATGCTTTCCCACTGGGCTCTGCTCCTATTGCTGTCTGTGGGCAGCTGCTGTTGATGCTGCCTTCCCCACGTTAGTATATGAATCAAGACTGTATGTATTGTAATGAGCAGTCAATCCACTGCTTAGGCTTTCAAACTTTTTATTCATGAATAAGCAAAAAGATGCTATAAAAAATTCATGCATTCTGTATCACTGAATGCATTTATTTATTTTGACAAGTGTGATTAATTCTTAATTATTTATGATCCCTCATAGTATATTACACCAGCAAACATACTGCGGTCTATTGTAATGAAGTGTGGGGAATTGTAGATCTTGCAACTGTGGCAATATTTCCTAGGGAAGCAAGTTATACTATGCAGTTTGTGGTAAGAGTGACTGAAGTGGTGGACTGGAGAAGTCGCACTTTGCAGCAGTATGGTTGCATGTGTTTGTCATGCCCAAATGGAAAGGCCTTTTCCCTCTCTCAAGAACTTGTAATGGGTCAAACCAGCCATACATTCTGTAGTTCTGAACCCTTGGTATGAACCAGTGTTT